GCCGAATGGTGGGGGCCGTCCTTATCGGAGAGACGGATCTGGAGGAAACCTTCGAAAACCTCATTCTCAACCAAATGGACTTATCCCGATATGGCGAAGAGCTTCTTAATCCTAATATTGACATTGAAGACTACTTTGACTGAATCTCCCTGGTTAGCCAATCACAGAGAGATGAGTAAGTTATATTTTAAAGCACTGTGTGAATTCTGTTCCAGCAGAATTGCAAAAATGACACAATCTTTAGTCTTTTTATGAGCCCTTCCGTTGAGAAAATACACATTGTGGATATAAAAAAGTGTAGTTCACCCAAAAGTGAATTTCATTATTTACTGAACAAATGGTTTTGTTATTGCCGTAACTGATTAATTGAAATGCTCCAACTCTAGTTCCAATTCAATATATTTGCATGGAAAAGATTGACTGGTAAATTTTTCAAAATTTCTCAGTTTTACATTCCACAAAAGAAAGAAAAAAAGTCACATGTGTTTGAGCGATTTGGTCGAAATTGAAATTTTTCGGTGAGCTTTTCTTTTAAGGAATACAGAACATTTAGAAGTGAATGCACTTTGAGATAGTGTAAGAAAAAACATGATATTGAGGTGCTAAGTAATATACGTTTATTTGATTTTTGGATTTTGGAAGTCCTTCGTTCTCACTTCACGAGGCAAGTAATAATTTAAGTAACTGTCACATTTTTTTTGGGATATGTGTCTCCCAAAATGAACATTTGGTGATCAATTATGTGATTGGATTGATGATGTAAATAAAATCTTCTTCATTTCATCAAGATTGTGAAGATCTGTTCTCTCTCAATTCTTTCATTCGAATGAGAACACACTTGGCCAAGCGTAGCAGGAAACGTCCTTCTACATATGATGTTCTGATGCTTTTACTGTGTCTGGATGAAAATAAAACAGCAAAATTCCGCTAAAATGCATAAAATCCCAAATATTTCCCCAAAGATACCTTTATATCAATATATATTCTGGCATTTTACACCCATTTCACCAATTCTTCAGCAGTCATTGTTGCAGTGATACGTTTATCTTCAGCGATATTCAAGCACATACTCGGGATATATCTGAGTGGAATCAAAGATAACAAAAATCCTTGGACAGATTTCATCATCAACACAACTATCATGTATGTTTTCATTTTGGTCATCATTGGGTGTGCAATAATCTTGATGGCCTGTTTTGTACTTCCCGACGAGAACACGGGCGATCAGCATTACTTTGGTACTTTTGGCTTCACTATATCTGGTAGCTAAGGATGCGTGTTTCGCAAAGTAGGTTCCTGCAACAAAAATAAAATCAGTTGTTGTTATAAACTTTTTTTTTTTAAATGTGAAAAGAACTAAAAAAAAATATCAGAACCACGACCCACCTTTCCCTAATACGTGTCCCCTTCTCCTCTTGTCTGATAGTCGGCAATTGAAATTAAACGTGCAAATAGAGTGCACGTTTTTCGCGCTTGTGCCGTGAAACAGCATTTGCTCTTCGATATCTGATTGTCCTTTTATCCTCATCATCTGGGTTTTTTTCCTGAGAATCCAAAAATTCGGGCAATGCATTTTATAAATGAGAATTATTTTTTTCAAAGTAAAACGATAGCATGAAGATAATACGCATCAGGATTAGTTTTAGTCATTTATTTATTTTGTTTTAGGCATTTAGGACCTAGATGGAGCCATACATTCTTATTACCTACAAAACAATTCCCAAAGATCCACGTTTTGTATTCTTTTGATGGATAGGATCATTGTATCACGCAGTAAGCCGACATCCCTGACGTATCTCTCCATCTTCTGATATTCGCTGTTATCTTTTCTCAGAGAGATTAACTGATTGGGATAAGAGACAGTCATTTTCAAAGAGAAAGTCATCGTTCCCACAACCCATAGACTGTAAAAAAGAAAAGAATCTATATTATAAGCACTTGCTGTCACCTCATAAGGTTTTTTGGGATCGAAATCCTCCCAGTGTGCTGGTGGAGATTGAGAAATGTCATCACATTTGCATCTGTCACACAAAACATACGTCTTATAAGGTTGGCTTCTCTTTGTTTCGTTGAAAGAGAAATGGAATGAATGCACCATGAAGTAGAAGTATTAATTTCACCAACGTTTCTCTAAATTTATACAGTATATCCATTGTTTTTTATGATTTCATTCCCAAACTGTTTTTTTTGTCAAATTTGTTGCTTAAAACATGTGGCTTAAGTGTCCAAATCTATTTTTTTTTTCTGAAAAAAAAATAATAATAATGACTTAAAAATATCTCACCTGAAGCCAATGTCAGTCAGAAATGAGCGTTTAATCTGCCTTGTTTTCCCAGTTCTTAAGTTGGACTGTGTCCTTGCTAAATTTTCACACATATTATTAATAAAAAATAAAACAATGACCGATAATGATATCAGTTTAGATATTGATATTCTGAAACATTTATGAGCAGTTTTGGGGGTAGCGCATTACAAGTAACTCGAGTTATGTAATCAGATTACTTTTATCAAGTAACTAGTAAAGTAACTTGTTACTTTTAACTTTACAACAAAAAATGTTACTTTGTTTTCCCATGACTGACAGCTCCCCATGCTGAGAAAAATCAGAAGTGCCGAGGCGTTGTTAAAACAAGATGGTTATTGTAGTCTAGACTAATATTTACGCCTCTAACTTGCACAATGATTCAGTATTCCTCAAAATGAGTTAAATAAGTGAAACGCAAAATCAGAATACAAACCTGCAAAAATAAATGTTAAATAAAATGCTTTTTTTGCATTTCATTTCACTTTATTGATCAATGTACTTGATTCTGACCTTCGATGAATCAGTTAAACCATAAGCAGAGATTACTTTAGATTTATTTTGTTTTTATTGGTGAAGTAAGTGTTAAACTTTCTTCTACTGCAATCCAGTTGCACACTGTACACACGTGAATTTACATTTTATTTCAATTTTGGTCTGAAAGGGCCTTTACATTTGCCCCAAAATAAGTTTTGTTATTTTAAAAAAACCGAAACGAGCCCAAGTGAGTAACGCTAAAGTAACGCACCACTTTTCTTAAAAAGTAACACATTTAGTTACTTTTTAAGGGAGTAACATAAAATTGTAATGCATTACACTGCTCATGAGATCTGTCAAGGGTGTATAATACAACAAGGCTATGTAGTTAACGTTATTTGATTTACATATTGCTAGCCTTCTGCAGCTAGTAGTTAAAAATGTCTTAAGTTATTCCCCCTAGATATGATTTCAAGGTTGTCATCTGTAGAAACTGTTTACCTGCAAAGTTGATCTCTATCTGAACTCCAGCTGCAGTCGTGTTTATAACCCCTTGTGGGTTTCTGAGGTAATATCTCTCCAAATCATCACTGAACATAACATTTTCTGGGTCATCCTACAACAAACATTTGCAATATATTATGAAGGCTATCAGTTGCAATGGAACACACTGTATAAATAAGATATTACCTCAACTCTGTGCCAGACACCACAATTTGCCTTGTAATACCAGTGCCATTGCGTTTCAGATGTGTCCATATATTCCACTTCATCCTCCAGTGTCAAACGAGCAAACTCACCTAACATTTTTAACAGGTAAAATTAACTACAACATGAGAAAGTGGTTTTAAGTGAAAACTCAACTAGAAACCCATATTTCTAGACTGTTTATCAATATAAATACGCACTAAACGGCGCACCCATGAAAATCTCACATCGTCATAATGCACTTCAGTGACGTGCGAGTAGCAGAGAAATTGAAACTTACTGGTAGAATGTGAACAAACCACACCAGGCGATCATTGTGTCACCAAAGTCACGTGGAAAGTTGTAAATGCCATACATGCGTAAACAAGTGCATCCGCAGTGTTTAGTAAAAGCATTTTGGCCGAGTGTGCATTTTTATGGATGAATATGTTGGGTCAATATGTTATACATAATATGCTTTATATATGTTTTTAAAAAGAACAGAAACAGGAATAAGTTATTCGAATTTCATTTTTTATATATATATATGCATGCAGTATTTTACAAGTAGACATATGCTGTTTATAAAACTAAAATATGATCAATGATTATTTACTAATTAGTCTCTCATTGAGAGGAGGAATAAAAGTGTAACTCTGTATAGGCAACTATTTAGTAAAAAGTCATATGATAATAGACCAGGAATTCCAACCATGTTCTACTAAACCAAAAAGACATGAAATTTCCATATAAAAAAACATGTTTCATTTTGTTTTGTTGCATTCTATATTGTCTGCTTTTCATTCATTTGATCATGGCTGCTTTCCCAACTGGCATACTTTTACGTGTAACAGCAAGTATGTACTGCGCATTGTTGATTGTAAAGTACTATCAAAAGCCAGTATTCCATTAGATTATCCCAACCAACATGCAGAGAATGTGATCCAGGCACCTTTGAGATTCACAAATTCTTGATATACTGTACTCTAATTTAGAGGCAAAAAAGCTTAGTGTTGCCCGAGTTGATTTTTCTTCCCCATATGTGACATAGAATATAGTGATCACTTTGAACATAACATTTTGAATTCGAATCGTGCTGTATATGGAGAGAAATCTGATAGGTATCAGATTCTTTGTAACGTGATTTCAGTGTGATCAGGCTGTATGGAATTCAAATGATTTAACACCGTCATACTCAAAATTCATAAATTGAAAACGATTGGGAAGAAACCACACAGCAGAACAGACAAGAGGTAGAATTATGGAATTATAAGACTAATAATCTTTATGGAATCAATTTTTGCCAATATTTTTTTCTTTTTTATAATACATGTTATGGCTGTTAAAAAAAAAAATTAAGAGTAAAACTGGTTCCCAGTTCAACATTTAAATACATGTTATGAAAAACATCTATAATCCATTTAAACAATAAATATATTACTCATATATATATATTTATATACTCATCCCCCTAGTCACAGTACATTATTATATATTTCATAGTTTTTCTGCAAAGGCACTTTTGCAGTAACCGTCCTCAACACGGTTACAGCACTCTGCTCTAAAACTCCCACAACTTCACGGTACGGTAAGATCCGTTAACAAAGTTTATGCTGACTTTCTTTAGGTCTTTGATATCAGTAAAATTCAATCAGGTATTCCGGATAGATCTGGTTGCTGTCGAATATAACGAAGATCTTAGGGTTTATCATGTCATCCACACAGCTGTCGAAAAAGTTGGCAATGCTTGTGTCTTTAGAAGGAGGTCTGCAGTACTGGGGGTGACCCAGTGTGTACTCCCCAACTAGAACCCGGGCCAGGAACATGCACTTGTAAGGCGGGTCACTCTGGAAAATAGCGGGCGCCATACCATGTCTCTGTAGGATAAAGTTATGCTTGCTAGTCGAATGGCAAAACTTGCTGGAATATCTTGCGTCGCGTGCAAAATAGCTTCCTGTGAAGACAAAAAAAAGTATGTATACAGTGTAAAATGTTTCTATAATGACATTTAAACAGTAGTAAAATGTTTACAAATAACCAAAGTACCTTTACGACGAGTCAATTGACTTATGATATAATAGCGACTTTTTTTATCTCATAATTAAGACAAAAATTAAGTGACTTGTGGACTATGTGGAAAAAATGGACTTCCATACATCATATTTATAATAGAGCCAGACCGATATATCGGCAGGCCGATATTATCGGCCGATATTAGGCATTTTTCAAACTATCGGTATCGGCAGTTATAATGGCCGATAAATGAATATTTCAACAATAAAATAAAAACGGACGAAACTCGCTTCAACCATGTCATGAGTGTTGGAGTTGTATAGTTTGTCCACCAGAGGGCACTCTACACAGTCCCTGTTGGCAACACTCGTTGAGTTGGTCACGTCACGAGACATACATTGCTTGAAAAATAATTAAAAGAACATCCCCATCAGTTCTCTTAACTCAAATAAGCGTGACACAATTTGTGACTATCATGTCCAGTTTTGCTGTTGTTAAATAAGCCGAGAGTGAAGCGGAATTAGCTAGTAATAGTTACGTTATGTTGTTACAGTATAGTCCTTTTAACTTTTGGCAATGTAAATTTCGTGACAGTTATAGCAATGAGATGTATCATCTCTCCTTGGCCTGTTATATTGAAAATGTATGTTTTACGATTTGTTGCGCGTTTCTGAAATAATAATTTAAAACAAATATCGGCCGATATATCGGATTTTAAAACCAATAAATATTTGTATCGGTATCGGACTTCAAAATCCATTATCGGTTGGGCTCTAATTTATACATTTTTATAAAAAGTCATTATTTACATTACATCATGTCTTTCGAAATTTGTATTTTTTTTATTATGTGGAAATAAAATACATTTTTTAATCATTTATATGCATATGTTTAAGATGTTCTTTTCCCCAAAATGAAAGTGGATGGTGACCATGGCAGATTGAAAAAGCCTTTATCCACATCCATTCTGTCACTGTATATAAAAGAGCAGCGTGAACATTCTTTAAAACGTCACTTTTTGTGTTCAATGAAAGGTTTGGACTGACATGAGGATCATCCCCTAATGCAAAAAGACTCATGCACTGTACCTTTCCCATAGACGTCACCATGACTTCCTGTGAGACGCCAATCAAAGTTGTATGTACATATGGCCTGTATGTTACTGTGGCCAGTTCCGTGAAAAAGCATCTTTTCTTCAACGTTTACTGCATGTTTTATCTTTCTCAGCTGGGCCTTTTTCCTGTAATATATTAGCATTTTTTTTTAAATAATATATTTATATTCAAGTTTGATTTTATCATAAATGAAGTGCTTAAAAACATTTAAAATTATTTGCTTGTAATATGTGTGATATGGAAAATTGGAATATAATATCGGAAAATGAGTCAACCTGCAGAAAAACTCCCACAAATCCAGGTTCTGTATTCTCTGAATGGATCTGATGGACTGGCTCATGGTTCTCTCATATAAACGGGCCACTTCTTTGTACTCAAACGTATCTCTGCATAGAGCAATAAGCTGGAATAAAGCACATAATTATATATTTTGGTGCATAGCCAGACATTGCCTCTTATACAAACATGAGAATTTTAAAGCCAATGGAGGAATGCTAGGATTTCCCCTATTCTAGCATTCCTCCATCCATTCAATTTGCATAAAAAAACAAAAGAAACAGCGGGGTCAAGCCTTACTGGAAGGTAAAACTGAGAATTGTCATCATAGCAGTGATAAGAAATATTGTATTTCTGAAAAATGTAGGCCAAAGGAAGCATATAAAGGAAAAACAATAAAGGTCCCAAAACGGATCCCTGAGGCACACCACAAGAAGCAGATGATGAAAAAATTAAGTGTAGTGCAGTTAAAATTCATTCTGTGTCATTAATTTAACATTTTTCTTCTTTTTTTTTACCTGATAGGGTTCCTCAGTATTAACTCTTTCCCAGTGACTGGGTACAGGAAGAGCTGGGTTATCGCAGATAAATCTGTGAAACACAAAATTTTAAAAATACACTATTTTATTGAATGTAATAAATAATTTAAAACATTACAATATAAATGTTATAATAATGAAATTTGTATAAATAAGCTTACCTAAAGTCAGTAGCTGAATGCAATGCCCTTTTGATTGGCCTTTCTTTTCCAGTAGTCACATTGACTTGTTTCATAGCTAGTGACATGATAAGAGTTGAGAAAATGACAGTAAAGATGCATATCACGGCCCTCATGGAATTTATTACCACAAATCTAGCAATCACAAATCTATGCTTTGCTGTAACTGACCAGAAAAGTCTAATTTATAGGTATATTTAGCAGTATAGAAGTCCATTGAAGCATGCTGATTCTTGCAGAAGTATTGTTCAATTTGCTCATTGGTGACAGAACACCCTGTGCTCGGAACTTCCTGTAGTGAAAAGGAAAACAGCATGACGTGATCAGCAAAAAGGGAACTTTGCAGTTCATATTAGACTGCAGTTTTATAAAGCGCAGTACATACTTCAAACATGTGCCAGACGCCACACTCTGCAAGGTAAAACCAGTGCCACTTTGCCTCTGATGTGTCCATTTCCTCCTCACATGATTCCTCATCAGGAGTCTTCTGGAGGACCCCTGGGCTCTCCAGATGTTTTTCGGTAGCCACACAGTGCATCTGTAAAGCAAATACACAAGTATGACCATTTGGTAAACTTTCAAGTGTATGACAACATGCATCATTAATAACAAGCAATTATTCATCTGTTTGATTTCACAGGACGGGATCTCATTCAATCTATAGTTCAAATTATCAACTACTAATTATGTTGTCTTGGTGTCAGTGATGTAAATGTCACACAATTTAGCAGGCATATACTCATCATCCATTCATAAATCTTTCGTTTTGAACTATTTAAATCTTTCAGACTAGCCTTTCTCCAGGCTACATCAACGTTTATTTACAAAATTTACTCATACAATTCATTTAATTTGATTTTACCGGTCGCGATCTCATTAATAAGGGATATTTGTTTACTAAAACATGCTGCTATGATAACACAGAGATAGTTATTGCATTTAATACTATGAATTTATTATCAATACCTTTCGAAAAAGCCTCGTTCCTCTTGTTGTTTTAAACAATGTCGATTTCATCTAAATTCGTGCAACATTGTTCTTTTTTAGTCTGATTCCTGGTTCTGTTTCGTTTTCCTCAATCTCTTGTTGTTGTGCGCTTCACTTCCGCATTCGCAGCTGTGACGTCATGCGTCCTTCAAAACCTAAAATAAATAATTAAAAAATAAAACCAAAGGAGATACATGGATTAGACGATGCAATAAAAGTAATAATAATGATAAAACTCTTCAAAAAATCCGCATTTGTGTCACAGCAAGGGCTTACTAAAAATGAAATGTTGCAGATTTTTCTTTGAGTGCAGAACTCAAAACGTCCTCGGCAGTTCAAACATTGGATTCAAAACGACCGCATTCTTCAAATGTATGTTATTTTACTCCATTATATATAAAAAAAAAAAAAAAGGTGAGAAGAAAAAAAAACAGAAAACTTATCTCGTTATAACGACATATTTATGGGAAGCCAAACAAACCAAAAGTGGAACGAGACAGCGGAAGTTTACAGTGCTCGCGCCGCGCTGACATGTCATCTGCGCGGTTCAATGGTACGAGCCGCGCGGCCGATTCGTCAGCGCAGCGCGGACGTGTTTCCTAGCGATACCCAATGGGCAGCGCGGCGCGAACAATCCTCACCAGCGCAGCGCGGACGTGTTTCCTAGCGACACTCAATGGGCAGCGCGGCGCGAACAATCCTCACCAGCGCAGCGCGGACGTGTTTCCTAGCGACACTCAATGGGCAGCGCGGCGCGAACAATCCTCACCAGCGCAGCGCGGACGTGTTTCCTAGCGACACCCAATGGGCAGCGCGGCGCGAACAGTCCTCACCAGCGCAGCGCGGACGTGTTTCCTAGCGACACTCAATGGGCAGCGCGGCGCGAACAATCCTCACCAGCGCAGCGCGGACGTGTTTCCTAGCGACACCCAATGGGCAGCGCGGCGCGAACAGTCCTCACCAGCGCAGCGCGGACGTGTTTCCTAGCGACACTCAATGGGCAGCGCGGCGCGAACAATCCTCACCAGCGCAGCGCGGACGTGTTTCCTAGCGATACCCAATGGGCAGCGCGGCGCGAACAATCCTCACCAGCGCTGCGCTGACCAATTTAAACAGATACAAGTTCATTTGGCGCCACTCATTTGCATTTAACCTCTGCAAGTATTATTATTTTAAATGAGTGAGCTAAAATGGCTAGACGCATTTTGGAAACAATTTTAACTACTCCTGACATTTTGAATAGAATTGAGGAGGCTCTAGGGGACAGAGAAAATCATTCAGAAAATGAGAGACGAAGACTTTTTAACCGTTTGCCACAAACCAGACCCACTCCAGCGTTCCAATTCGCACGTAACTTCAGTGGTGAGGCCTCACGGGGAACTGTGAACATGAGAAGAAGGTAAAATTGTGAACAACAATGAATACGCTATTCATCCAGCAAAGTATTTGCATTTAGTCATAGACATAGTTAGCCTATAATTTAGTAGCCTATTTAACTGCCTGATATGTAACTTAAGATATGTTATTTCTGAACTAGAAATGCAAGTGCAAAATAACATTTTCTTATTTCCTTTAGGTGCCAAAGAAACACAGGTGGTCCCTTCATTAGAGAAGTGTGTCTATTGACCTCCCCAGAAACCACAGTTGTACCAAAGGGAATGGCTAGAGTCCAACTCCTAAATAATGGTTACATTATCAGTGGAGTACAATTCCAAAAACGTTGGAATTTCCAGCAGGTGTTGCAGCATATTCATTCTATTTTTGAATCAAAACTTCAACTCAACACTGAGTAAGTAACTCAAACTCTGAGATTAGTTGTTTAAATGTTTGAATACTGCATTTTTATACTGCATAAACAAATCCCTTACAAAAATGAACCATGGTTTTATTGTTGTAAAAGTGTAGTAACCATTTTTGATTGATTACCATTTGTATAAGTTTTACAACAAATACCATGGTTAAACTATGTGTAGGAAAGCCATGGTTATTTTGTGGTTACCATTGTTTAACTGCAACAACCATGTGTTTTTGTAGTGAAACCGTGGTTAATTCAAGGCATAATCACATTTATTAAGAATGATAATGTCGTCATCAACCACTTACTCACCTGTATGAGATTCTTCCTTCAAAATGGATATCTTGTCATTTATTTAATGTCCTATGCTTCCATAACTGTTCTCAGTCAGCATTTACTTTTCACATTATCTGGCCCTTTTGAGAGATTCAATGTCAAAAAAATTTTGCAAGGCTTTGATTGGATGTTGTGCCGAGTCTTAATTATCCCCTCTGTTAAAGTCACATGGTTTCTTCTTGAATTATTTAATGTGGTCTCAGCCTTTATGAACCCACAGTGCACCAGTGAGTGATTTAAGATGTTACATTTAAACCCACTTATTCAGTATTTATTATGCAAGTAATTTACCCTCTTTTTTACATTTAAGATTGGAGATATTGAGAGCTTTAAACACACAACTGGTCAAACCTACACTGGAACCTGGAGTTGAACTGACTGGAACCATACTCTGCATGCTTTTTAAAGACAGAGTCATCTATGTACGCCCTTCTGGTGACCTGTCTCAGCCTGATCAGGTAGGGTCATTTATTCTATGAGGACAGACTGTTAAACACAGAAAGTGTGACATTTTGTTTGATATATTTTACTGTATTACAATTATATTTGTTTGCATGTCTATGAATTATAGAAATTATATTTCACTATAAAAAACTGAAAATGTATGGGCTTTTAAAAGGAATCTGAAAATATTTAATATAAAAGCAAGCTGTTTAATTATAAAAGACCATGCAATCTAACCAGTTTTAGATTTTAATATTGCTAATAGCCATTGCATTACTCTTTAAACTTATGTGTAGAACATATAGCGCTAGCCATGCTAGAATCATAGGTTTGATTCTCATGGAATGCATGAATGTGGTCAAACCTTGATTGCATTGTAAGTTGCTTCTTTGGACAAATGTAACAAATGATAATGTAAATGTTCTCTTTATAATTTATCGCAGGTTCAAACTTCAGCTGAAGCACCATTACTAGCCCAGACAACTGCTGCCTGTCCAACACATGCCCTGCCACCATCATCAGCAGCACAGAGACCTGAAACAGTAGTCACATCCCAACTCCAAGAAACAACATCTCCTGTGACGTTTCAGGCAACAACTAGTACGCCTCAGCCACTGTCTGAAGCTGCTGCTGTTTCCACTACTTCAACATCATCATGGGAGCAAAGTACACCCCAGTGCTCTCATAGTACTACAGAATCACTATTGGTCCCACTGACATCTACCTCTCCACTTCCGATCCAGGTAACTGCATGTTAAGTTTGTAGCAGTTCTGTGTGTAAATAATACTATATGGAATAATTATAATATTTCTTGAAAGTTCATTAATAATTATGATATTTTCATTATTAAATTCTGAAAGTACATAATTTTTTTAGGGCAATGAGAGCCCTGTGATCTATGAATGGGTGAATGCTGGAACTTCAGATGTGAGTATTGTATATTTTAATTTCGCACAAATGAAAATCTGGTTCCCTTGTAGACCTTGGTATAGATAAAATATAATGTTCTAAAAATATGTCACTCAGAGGTACACTATGCAACTTTTGGCTCTCTAGTGTGGTGGTTAATAAACACTGAACACATTGAAGCCGAAGGTACTTCTCTGTTTATGACGAGTCAAGCAAGTATTGGGCTATACCCCAGTGGTTACGGTTTTTATAGTGTACCTTTAAAAGTGATCTCACAATATCTCTGCTGTGTCCGTAAAAACAGTAATAATAATTACTAAAGCATTTTTTTTAGGTGGGCTACAGGGTTATACCACCAGCAAATGAAGAACATTCAAACTCTGAAGTCCAGAATGGGTTTGTTATTATTATTATTTATTATTATTATGTTGCTATTGAATGCTTTATTCTGATTGTCAATTATAGCATTCTGCAGTCAAAAACATTTTGTTGAATTAAAATTAAAAATCCCCTAATGGGCAATAGGAAAGAACGTCATACAGGTTTGAAACAACCTGACAGTGAGTAAACAATGACAAAAAATAGATTTATTTTTAATTTTCAATTTCGTATTTTTAAGGGAGGACTCTGTGGTTCTTCTAACAGACACAGAGGAAGAAACTGTTATGTTGGGCTCTCCTAATTACACCAGTTCAGACTCTGTGAGTACATACTGTACTAATCAGACACTTTGCACGAAATGTATAGCTAATATTAAAATTCTGTTACATTTCTCAACCTTTATTTAGGAAGAAGCAGATTTGGCTGACATTCTGAGATCATTCCAGAAGGACCACCTTGACACCCAAAATTGTGCCATTGTTGTTGCAAGACGGTCAAAAATTCTTCACAGTGCCTGTCAAGCTCTGTCAAAATCCTACTTTGCTTGGAACAGAACTCCACGAATTGAGTTTGTTGGAGAGTCTGCTGAAGATCATGGTGGGCCACAAAGAGAGTTCTTTAGGTTGGTATAAACACTTGTACTGTTAGACTGGGGGTACAAATGTTACATCTTGAAAAACTTGAGATACAGAAATATTGAATTCCCTTTCTAATATTCAGAAATGCTCAAACTAAAATAAATGTACTTATTCTTTGTACTACAGTTCTTCCACAAACATTTTGACTTGGTATATACATTCAATTAACTAATTCTAACTTTATTTGAAGTAATAAACTGAAACAACTAGTAATAGACTACTTTGAGTTGAAAATGTATAATGTTATAACAAATATAATTTTCCTTCCATCAGGCTCTTAATGATTGAGGCACAGTCAGCACTTGGAATTTTCGAAGGAAAGCAAGGCCAGGTTTTTTTTGCCTACAACCAGTCAGCGCTAGAACAGAACCGGTTTTACACATGTGGAAAACTCATTGCTTGGTCACTGATTCATGGAGGCCCAGGCATTAAAAGCCCTTCATCCAGCTTTGTATTTGATGATGTGTGGACAGGAAGGGCAGTTGGATAGGTTTGATTTTCATGACTTGCCAGATGATGAAGTGCAGTTAAAGGTGCAACAGGTAGCCTATTATCACCTATACGTTTAACCTGATGAACAATTAAATGGTACTTTAATATTATCTAAAACTGGTCTTTTTAGATCAAGCAGGCCAAAAGTGTGGAAGACCTCATTTCACTGAAGGCCTCTCTTGGAGACTGGATTGCAGAATGTGGGGTACCCTCGATCTACAGTGCTGGCCTTCCTGAAATGCCCAGAGTTTACAGCCTGGTCATTAAACACTTTATTTATCTTAGGTAAAAGAAGCCAACATATCTCAAGTCAATATCAAACTGCAATTTAGTGATCAAACCTAAAACAATTTTGTAACAGTGCAGTTACACGTAAATAAACACCTTTGTTTTGATTGTTATCTGTTTGTTACCCCAGGCCTGCTAGCATGATTTCACAGTTTAAGGCAGGAATGAATTCATGTGGATTCATTTGGCAGACAGTAGAAAACAACTGGATGGCATTCAAGCCTCTGTTCACTAACACTCAGAAGCCACTGACAAGAAGCGAGTTCAAAGACCTTCTTGTTGTGAACTGGAGTGATGAAGGCAGCAACCACAGACAGGTGGAAGAGGACACCATCTTTGCTTGGGAATGTTTACTCAATAGCATTCAGGGTAGGTTGTGATATAATTCATGTATTTTCATTTATAATGTTGGTTTATGATCTTGGTTATTTCACTTGGGCCTGGGGGTCTCATTTATGTATTAAACTGTGCGTATGGATCCTTACTAAAAGCGTTCATGCGCCCGAAAGCCAAAAATGGCGTACGGCAAAAAAATATTCCGATTTATTAAACCGTTCGCATGATAAAACATTAAAACACTGCATGCCAGAGGGAAATTGTTCAAAAGCATCGCATCCACAACAAATATGCATTTCTATTTATTGAATATAACTTCTCAGTAATGATTTCATGTAGTTTAAGTGTTTAACTCCATTAACGAGAATGGCATATTTAATCGAAATGTTTATATCAGAAGTAAAACAGTTTAAATCATTCTTTTATTTATTTAAACTATTATTGAGAACATGCACTGTATCTATTAGGACTCGAGAAGATTTGACTTCATCTGCCGTTAGATTATAGGCTATATATGCGTCAGTTTCACTAAAAGGCCCAACGCGCATGCTGGTGCAGACATTTAAGAAGGGATGGATATTGGCATCAAGTGATAGGCTTTGTGAGTGAAATTATATTTGTTGGCTAATATTTTTCTGTAGCCTATAGGCTATCATTTTCTTTAGATTTTCGGTCTAAAAGTGACCAAAAAGACATTTAACTCCAGCTCACCATCGGTTTATCTTTATCAATGAGACCCCAGATCAGGGGTGGGGATCGTTGATCTTGGATGGTTATTGTCCAGCAGAGTTTAGCTCCAACCCTGAAAAAAATAAACACCTCCCTGTGACTTGAGCAATTCGGAAGACCTTGATTAGCTTCAGGTGTGTTTAATTAGGCTTGGAGCTAAACTCTGCAGGACAATGGCCCTCCAAGATCAGCGTTCCCCACCCCTGGTTTAGATAATATTAAATCAAATTCTTCATAAAAATAAGAACGTCCGATACAACTTGGATGGCTTGAGGGTGAGAAAATTTGGGGATAATTTTCATTTTGGAGTTAACTATTCTTTACAAATATAGACATGTTTGTCCAAAGGCTATAGTTCACCTTTAACGAAAATTGACTTTTTTTCGATTCAGTCTTAACTTTAAAAATGAGTTGTAGTGACAAAAAAAGACTACATTTTCCTGAAAGTACAAAAACATTGCAATAGTTTATTGTTACACAATTTACAGAGGACATACTGGTATTTGTCTATAAAATACATGGACTAAATTGACTGTTTTATTGATTCATTTTACTAACCTAAAATGTATCTGCAACACTAACTCTTAAAGTGCTTTCTGGAACTGTGATGGCCCGTGTGTCAGTCTCATATTCCCCTACAAAGTCAACGTCATAAGACGGATCCTCTCTCTAACCCGATGCCTTTGGACTCTAAAACCTCTTCCTCTAATGCTTCCTTGAAATTAAACAAAGAAAATGAAAACATAAAAATAAAATACATTTCTGAAATAGAATTTATACATTTTTTATTGAAAACAGATTATTTTAAATAGCATAAGTAAATAATGAGCAGTCTACCTTGTACTAGTCTTTCACCAACATTTGAAGTGTGTGCTGTGATGTCTCGAATTATGCCATCCAGCTGACTGTTTGGAATGGCATCATAATTGTTGAGTAGTCCAAAGACAGCTCGCCTTCGAGAAAGGGTCGACAAACCAATGCCAAGGACATTTGCTATGGAAACCCAGGACATACCAGTTGTCCTCAACTGTAAAAGTTGTTCAGCTGTGATGTGATATCTAGAAGTTAGAATTAAAATGTTATGGTTTCACAATTCTTAACACACTTTTTACTTTTATTATGTCAATTTAGTAACTGACATTCTTCTGTGAAATATCTTCTGGGTTCACTGCACAGCAGAAAATAAAATCATGCAGGTTTGGAACAACTTAAGGGTGAGTAAATGATGACACAATTTTTATTTAATTTTTTGGGAGTGAACTTCACAAAAATTGTGTCATCATTTACTCACCCTTAAGTTGTTCCAACCCTGCATGATTTTATTTTCTGCATGCTGTATACAGTGAACCCAGAAGATATTTCACAGAAGAATGTCAGTTACTAAAAAAAATGATGGATCCCATTGACTTCCATAGCATAAAAAAACATGGAAGTCTATGGGACCCATCAACTCACAGATTCCCCTGTGTCACTGCACAGCAGATTTTTATTTACATGAATCTGTAAAGAAAAAGCCGTGAAAAATTAATAATTGCAAAACTGCTGTGTCAAACTTAAAATTAACATTACCTTGGCCGTCCCCTGGTGTGTAAAATTGACTGTGAAAATGGGGCGTTGACAGGAGGGTTGAAAATATGGTCCACCAGAAGACATAAGTCTTTTATAGCCTCTTGAAGTTCATTGATTGTGGTGATGAGGTCAAGGTCATTCTAAAACATCACATATAAAATAAAAAAAAAATTAAAAAAAATAGTGGAAAAAGTGTCTCTCCCAATCAACCTGAACACACACTTAGTGTAGTTGGTTGGAAGGGACACGTTTTCTCAAGTAATCTCAATGGCAAAAAGTGTCATTATCACACTGAATTCACCCTATAAATTAATATCACAAAATATCAATAACATAAAATTGATCTTTAGTTTTAACATTTAATTCAAAATTAACAGATGATTGATTGATTGATTGATTGATTATGGAATTCAGACATAAAAAGCTTAAAGTCTACAAATGATGGCTGAATGCAAAACTTACAATAATAAAATACACATTACCTGAACATGTAAACTGTCCGATATAATTACCAGAAGGTTGGCGTGCTCAGCAAGACTACTACGGTATTGAAAGTCATTGAAATTTCTGCTTTGTACAGCTCTTTCCGTAGCCTCTATACATATGTGCAGTTCTTCAAAGTATCGACGCACAACACACTACTCTTAACTAACACTATTAAAGAAAATAAACATAAGACATGTATGTATTTCATCTTCTTGTCTTTCTTCTTTGTTTTCTGTGGGGAAAACTACTAAACTTCAGCAGAGAAGAACCGATTTTTTGTAAGGAAGGAGGGATTTCTTTATTGTGCATTTATTTGTAGTATGTATGGTTGACGCGGCGCTGTTTAAATTGGTCAGCGCAGCGCTGTTGAGGATTGTTCGCGCCGCGCTGCACATTGGGTGTCGCTAGGAAACACGTCCGCGCTGCGCTGGTGAGGATTGTTCGAGCCGCGCTGCCCATTGGGTGTCGCTAGGAAACACGTCCGCGCTGCGCTGGTGAGGATTGTTCGAGCCGCGCTGCCCATTAGGGTGTCGCTAGGAAACACGTCCGCGCTGCGCTGACGAATCGGCCGCGCGGCTCGTACCATTAAACCGCGCAGATGACATGTCAGCGCGGCGCGAGCACTGTAAACTTCCGCTGTCTCGTCCCACTTTTGGTTTGTTTGGCTCCCCATACATATTATGTCGTTTTAACGACTTATTAAGTCGTTTTAACGACATAATATCTCGTTATAACGACATAATAAGTCGTTAAAACGACTTAATAAGTAGTTAAAACGACACAATATCTCGTAACGACATAATTAAGTCGTTCAAACGACATAATATCTCGTTAACGGCATAGTATCTCGTTAAAACGACATAATATCTCGTTAAAACGACATAATAAGTCGTTATTTCGACATAAAAATCTCGTTATTTTGACATAACAAGGGCGCATTCTATATTTAGCATTCTTATAATGACTTTCTATGGGAGGAAAATGCTTAACGTCAAATGAGACGCTTTGGCGTTCAAATTCTAGACTTATCTGGTTTTTGCTATAGGCTACTTTATTATGAGTTTAGAATCATATTAATTAAGAAATGCACGCACAATTAGGCCTATCTGTTAGCTTGATGAATGTTGCAGATATGTTTTAGGCTAGGCTACTACTAACAAACAAATTGCTTTCAATTATGTGTGCAAAATTCAGAATTCAACGAATGCACTGCAACAACAAAAATAGTTAAATTGATATTATTATTATTATTAATAATAATAATCATAATTATTTTTAATAATTATTATTATGTAGGCTATTATTATTATTATTAAATATTTGATAATAATGAACGCTTTGCGTTAATATTCTGGACTTATCTGATTTTTTTGTAGTAGGCTATACTTTATTATGATTTTAGTAGGCTGTCATGGATTAAGAAATGCACGCTCAATTATCCTTGAAATTGATAAATGTTGCAGATATATTTTAGGCTATCCACAAACAAATTGCTTTCAAATGCATGTGCAAAATTCAGAATTCAACGAATGTGCAGCAATTTGTACAAATAGAGACGTTTGTGCATGAAAGACATTTTTTGTTTTATTTTGCATTTGCGCCTCCATTTATTGACGTCTGAATCGATCTCATTTGAGTATATTCGGCAATTTGCTTAACGAGGAATTAAACGCGTTGAGTTTATATTCTGAGCTCATGATTTTGTCTAGCCTACATATAATTTATTTGTATGATTATTTACTGTGTTTGGTCTTTTAGTACATTTCTTAAGGTTTGTATTCATTTCGATGTGCCACTAGAGAGCAGAATAAGACCGGGAATTAAAGAATGCATTGTAGATATGGTGACTGTTTTCATAATGAATATACTTTTCTAAAACCTTGCATATTAATGGGAATTAACTTATTTGGCAATTACACCTATTTTTGTTGTCAGTATTGCTGTTTCGGCCAGCTTTATAGTTTATCTATTAGATTTTGTTTATTTGTTAACTTTACACAACTCATTTAATCGCAGATAGCCTATTGCGTCATGTGCTTGATTATTATTGGCCAGGGCCGGGTTTCCCGATAACGATCTATCTTAGCTCTTAAGAGCGCTCTCTACGTTCAAGGTTACGAACGATCGCAGCAATTCCACGTGTGTTTCCCTACGTGCTATAAGCGTCGCTATCCATTTGCGAAGTGCTGAAATATAACCTTATATGGAGTCGTATTCTGGACGTTGAACCTAATAATCGTCATTTGTTGTGGATTAGAAATCAAGACATATGTATAAAACACCTATACAGGCTGACAAAAAAACAAAACAAGAGAAGATAGGCTACAATACCTTTCAAAAAAGATAAAATTAATGTCCTTCCAGAGGAGATAGAGGGAAACAAATATTTTATTTTTAACAGATTTAAAGGACACCATATGGAAAAACAAAACATCTGGAAGGACATGTTGCAAACTAACTGCAACCGTGTTTAAAGATCAGGGAAGGAGGTCCGCGAGAAATGCCCAATACATGGCTGGTTTTCGTGCACGTCAGCAAGTCATTGACAGATTTTTTTTAATTCATCCCTATTTTGCCCAGTCTTTAAAGCATATTTCTCAGATTACTTATTTTATGATTTTTTTTTGTTCATTCATTTAATTTAGATGTGTTCTATTTTTTTCCTTCCCTTTTTAATTAGGCCTATTTAATTTATTCATTTAAACAAAACACGAGTACAACAAAGTAGTACAATCAAAACCTATATAGGCTACAGTATATTATAGGCTACTTACGTTGCAGTGTAATCTATTGATGCCGGTTGTCCTGCAGGTGACCTCATAACTCTGTCTTCTTACGATGCACTTGGGGATGTACGATTACTCCAGAGCACTCATTGTTCTAACGAGATATTATGTCGTTTTAACGACTTATTAAGTCGTTTGAACGACTTAATTATGTCGTTATAACGAGATATTTTTGTCGAAATAACGACTTATTAAGTCGTTTGAACGACTTCATTATGTCGTTATATAGAGATATTATGTCGTTTTAACGACTTATTAAGTCGTTTTAACGATGTCGTTAAAACGACTTAATAAGTCGTTATAACGTCGTTAAAACGACTTAATAAGTCGTTATAACGAGATAAGTTTTCTTTTCTTTTTTTTCTCACCTTGCGGTTCAGGGCTTCCGTAATTTTTTTTCTTCAAATACCGTATTTTTTATTTAATTGCAACACATATCATATGTCATAATCGTGACTTTTTTGTTTGACAAAAAGCAGCAGTAATAAAACATTAATTAATTTGAACTTCTGTAGGCTCAGACAAACAAACATTCAGCTGGTGATTAGCGGCGGGGTCAATGGTCATTCGTACAAATTCATACGAATTGGGCAACTGGGCAATATGCACGATTCAAAAATCGCAATAATTCGTACGAGTGAGAACAAATGAATTCGTACGAATTAGCCACCTCGTAAAATTCGTACGAATTGCTGTGAGAATAGTGTTGGCTGCAATTAATCGCACGACGGAGGAGAATACACTGAACAGATTTAATGATGAACATCCATCCATCTATCCGTCCGTCCGTTTATTGATCTATCTGTGCTAAAGATAGCCCAATATTTGGCAAGAAGCGTGTTTTCACATGGTTTGTGCACCTCTATACGTCCCGCCCTCTCCTACTCCTCATCGCGTGCAGAACTCAAGACACTGCCGTTCTGTGTGCATGTCTCACAGCGAGCTGTTCACAAACTTTGGTAAGTCAAATGACCTTATTTAAAATACTGTTTTTTTTAATTATTATCCATTTAAAACTGTTTCTGCTATCATTCTTTGTAGAGTGATATTTAATTAACAATTCAATAAACATTCCTTCACGATTTGTAGGTAGCCTACTGTACAAAACAAACAAACAAAAAAACAAAGTTTGTAAATGTTAGTTCCATTACTGAATTGAAGCATCTATGATTCATTAGTTATAAACAAAAATAGAATTCTTTGCAAAAACTCACTTTTCTGTATGCTGGTGTTGCTCTACATATAGAAAAGGTCCATGGAGGAGACTAGAGGCGGAGGCATTGCTGATGGGGAAGCTATGGAGCCTGAGGCTCAGAAAGGGAGTGCAGAAAGCAGACCCCGGACCAGGGAGAAATGGGCCAACAAGACTGAGTTCCTGCTGTCCATGGCTGGAGAGATTATCGGCCTGGGGAACGTGGTGCGCTTCCCTTACCTGTGCTACAAAAACGGAGGCGGTAAGAGAGAGAATGTTGAAAATTTGGGATGTTAAAGAAGTGTATGATAGAAATAAAAAAGGCAGAAAGCCTGCAGTGTTTTGATCTGCTGCTCCATGAGATGGATTTGACCTTAAATTCCAGAAGAAGACCATGCTAACATAATCAATAGAGCTCTGTGTTCTTCAGCAAATGCTCAGAACGAATTTTTGCTACACATCATGGACTGTTTCCCAGAGCACATGCTGATACCACTTTTTTTCTTCTTCTTTCTGCTTTTATTGGTGCTTGCAAACAAGACATCACTATTAACATTGTATTTTATTCAAATGCAGCCTAACTCTATGAATTAAAAAGTGCTACGAATATTATATTATTATTCTATTTGAATGTTCATACTTATATTTTAGCCACCCAGATTGCACATCTGCATGCTCTGGCTTCTGTCAACTAATTCATACAAATAAACAAATAAATAAATAAAAAATTGTCTTATTATTTTTATTATTAATAAAATCATCAATTATTATAAATAAATAAATAAATATCATGATTTATTTAATGTTATGTTATTGGGATGTTCTGTTACAACCCTTAAAGATAACATCAACAAGACTTTTGAGCCTTTAAAGGGATAGTTCACTTTGAAATTAATTTTTGGTATGTTTTAGCTTACCTCAAGGTGTAGGATGTCTTTTAAGATGTAGGTGTCTTTGTTTCCACATTATTTTCAATTTTGCTATTTTTCTGTCAAAACGTTCTTGTCTATCACTCATATAATGCAGGTATAGGGGGTCCACCCTTGGTCCACCTCGAAGAGCATGCACAGAGAAGTCAAAATATAAAACATATCAGCTAAAACGTATCAAAAATTAATTTCAAAGTGAACTATCCCTTTAAGGTAAATAACTAACACATTTTTGGTCTCTCCAGGTGTTTTCTTCATTCCTTATTTCATCTTTCTCTTCTTTTGTGGAATCCCAATATTCTTCCTTGAGACGGCGTTAGGTCAATACACCAGTGAAGGGGGCGTCACTGCTTGGAGAAAAATCTGCCCCATGTTTGAAGGTGACTTATGATTTCATAAATGGATCTACACAATACAGTCCATGGGCCTTATCATACACCCGGCGCAATGCGTGTTTTTTGCTAGTTTCAGCCCTACACAGTTATCATTTTCATGCGCTTTACACCATGTGCTTAGATTGTTAAAATAGGGCCCCGTCTCTTTAATTGTGTAATGCACATTTTCTTCACACAAACTACCTTTTGTTCACAGGCGTAGGTGTTGCATCCCAAGTTATAGTGATTTATCTAAATATATATTACATTGTGATCCTGGCCTGGGCTTTGTTTTATCTATTCAACTGTTTCTGGAGTACTCTACCTTGGACTTCATGTGACAACTATTGGAACACAGGTGTGTTATGTACTGCATTTATAAACTTTATTCATATGGGTTTAAGACATTGGATAACTGTCAAGCCCTATCCCAAATAAACTAAACTGAATAACCCTAAACCAATGGCACACACATTGCATCTCTCAGTACAGAAATATTAACAATTACTTTATGAAACTGCAGTAAATTAGCACTTTCGAAATAATAAGACGAATGGTTTTCTGTGAAATGCATCGGCGTAAAAAATTAAATAATTCATTCTGAGAATGTTGAAAATTCTAAAAAAATAAATTGCAAGATGATTGCAAGATTAAAAGTGTTTAAGGTATAAATAATAAATTATGCAATTAATTTTGCAATTATGAGAAACTGTTAGATACAGTCACATTGCAAGAAAAAAAGTCACAATTATGATAAATAATGTTGCAATTATGAGAAACAAAGTCATAGTTCTGATAAATAAAATTACAACCATGAGAAAGTCAATTACTTTAAAATTAAGTTATAAATTAAATAAAGTAATACATGCAATGACAAAAAAATAGTCACATAAGAAATAGCCACAATTTCCAGAAGCAAAGTGTCAAACATATAGTCACAATTACAAGAAAATTAAGTCATTAGTTTTACAATAAGTTGGTATTATGAGAAATACATTTGCCTTTGAGATATAAAGTCGCAGTTACAATTACAAGAACTAAGGTTTCAATTATGAGAAAAAAGAAGGAAAAAAATTGCAATTGTGAAATATGAAGTCATTGTTCTAGAGTTGTAGTTGTGATATGTGACATGACATTACAACAAATTACTCCCAATTACGAGAAACAAAGTCATAGTTACAAAAAATAAAATCACAATCATGCGAAAGTTTACAGAGCCCCCCTAGTCCCACTTTGGCAAAAAAAATAATAATTATAACTATCTTGTGGTCTCAAGATAGTAACTCGTGGCCTCAAGATACTAACTCGTGGCCTCAAGATAGTAAAAAAAAAAATTATAACTATCTTGTGGTCTCAAGATACTAACTCGTGGCCAGATAGTAACTCGTGGCTTCAATATACTAACTCGTGGCCTCAAGATAGTAACTCGTGGCCTCAAGATACTAACTCGTGGCCTCAAGATAGTAATTCGTGGCCTCAAGATACTAACTCGTGGCCTCAAGATAGTAACTCGTGGCCTCAAGATACTAACTCGTGGCCTCAAGATAGTAACTCGTGGCTCGTGGCCTCAAGATCGTAACTCGTGGCCTCAAGATAGTAACTCGTGGCCTCAAGATAGTAACTCGTGGCCTCAAGATAGTAACTCGTGGCCTCAAGATCGTAACTCGTGGCCTCAAGATAGTAACTCGTGGCCTCAAGATACTAACTCGTGGCCTCAAGATAGTAACTCGTGGCTCGTGGCCTCAAGATCGTAACTCGTGGCCTCAAGATAGTAACTCGTGGCCTCAAGATAGTAACTCGTGGCCTCAAGATACTAACTCGTGGCCTCAAGATACTAACTCGTGGCCTCAAGATAGTAACTCGTGGCCTCAAGATACTAACTCGTGGCCTCAAGATAGTAACTCGTGGCTCGTGGCCTCAAGATCGTAACTCGTGGCCTCAAGATAGTAACTCGTGGCCTCAAGATACTAACTCGTGGCCTCAAGATAGTAACTCGTGGCCTCAAGCTAGTAACTCGTGGCCTCAAGATACTAACTCGTGGCCTCAAGATAGTAACTCGTGGCTCGTGGCCTCAAGATCGTAACTCGTGACCTCAAGATAGTAACTCGTGGCCTCAAGATAGTAACTCGTGGCCTCAAGATCGTAACTCGTGGCCTCAAGATACTAACTCGTGGCCTCAAGATAGTAACTCGTGGCCTCAAGATACTAACTCGTGGCCTCAAGATAGTAACTCGTGGCCTCAAGATAGTAACTCGTGGCCTCAAGATACTAACTCGTGGCCTCAATATACTAACTCGTGGCCTCAAGATACTAACTCGTGGCCTCAAGATAGTAACTCGTGGCCTCAAGATACTAACTCGTGGCCTCAAGATACTAACTCGTGTCCTCAAGATAGTAACTCGTGGCCTCAAGATAGTAACTCGTAGCCTCAAGATAGTAACTCGTGGCCTCAAGATACTATCTCGTGGCCTCAAGATAATAACTCGTGGCCTCAATATACTAACTCGTGGCCTCAAGATACTAACTCGTGGCCTCAAGATAGTAACTCGTGGCCTCAAGATACTAACTCGTGGCCTCAAGATAGTAACTCGTGGCCTCAAGATAGTAACTCGTGGCCTCAAGATAGTAACTCGTGGCCTCAATATACCAACTCGTGGCCTCAAGATCGTAACTCGTGGCCTCAAGATACTAACTCGTGGCCTCAAGATAGTAACTCGTGGCCTCAAGATACTAACTCGTGGCCTCAAGATAGTAACTCGTGGCCTCAAGATAGTAACTCGTGGCCTCAAGATAGTAACTCGTGGCCTCAATATACCAACTCGTTGCCTCAAGATCGTAACTCGTGGCCTCAAGATAGTAACTCGTGGCCTCAAGATAGTAACTCGTGGCCTCAAGATACTAACTCGTGGCCTCAATATACTAACTCGTGGCCTCAAGATACTAACTCGTGGCCTCAAGATAGTAACTCGTGGCCTCAAGATACTAACTCGTGGCCTCAAGATACTAACTCGTGTCCTCAAGATAGTAACTCGTGGCCTCAAGATAGTAACTCGTAGCCTCAAGATAGTAACTCGTGGCCTCAAGATACTATCTCGTGGCCTCAAGATAATAACTCGTGGCCTCAATATACTAACTCGTGGCCTCAAGATACTAACTCGTGGCCTCAAGATAGTAACTCGTGGCCTCAATATACCAACTCGTGGCCTCAAGATCGTAACTCGTGGCCTCAAGATAGTAACTCGTGGCCTCAAGATAGTAACTCGTGGCCTCAAGATAGTAACTCGTGGCCTCAAGATAGTAACTCGTGGCCTCAATATACCAACTCGTGGCCTCAAGATCGTAACTCGTGGCCTCAAGATACTAATTCGTGGCCTCAAGATAGTAATTCGTGGCCTCAAGATAGAGTTAGTATTTTTTTTGGCCAAAGTGGGACTAGGGGGGCTCATCCCCAAATCAATGTTGAGTTCACTTTGATCTCCCATTTCATCAACAGTGTACTGCCAAAATATAAGTGCTACATACACAAGTCTGCACAGACCTGATGCTGACTGGTCTTTCCTGTACAATGAGACGTATAGCTTTGGTGACAACAACAGCATGAGGTAACCTCACTTAACAACAGAGTACAAAGTAAAAACCAACACTATCTCACGACCTCACTCGTTCATATCCATACGATTTGTCTAAACCCCAGTGATGGGTAGGTTTAGGGTCGGGGTCAGGGGATTGTCATATCGTATGAATTCGTACGAGTGAGGTCTTATGGATTTGTGAGATGGGGTTGATAAAAAGGCGTGCAATGTCAGTTGTTCTCCCTGATGTTTATGGTCATGAAAGATGTTCTTTGAGTTCAGGCTTTGATTACAAACACACTTGTCAGAAAAGTTACCTTAACAAAGTCCCGTTTGTAATGCATTTAGAAAGAATGATGTATTCTTTGTTTGGACTTACAGGAAATAGATGCAGGTGTATTTGAAAATGGCCTAGATAGTTTTAACATTTCACTGAAATCCAATATTGCATGTTCTATACTTGATAATATATTGCTCTGTGTTTTTCTGTTAATGTGCTGATTTAAGAAAGTAGCTTTAAACATCATTTGGAGACCAAGTAGACCATCAGCTAAGAACAGAAAACTAAATTTGGCTGGGTTAGAAAGAGATTTTAGTCAGTGTAGATAACTTATCATAATTCATAAACAGATACAGTGGCTTTTGTTAGAAAAGAATGCCATTGAAAGGTTTTGGTGAGCTCTCTTTTTGTCTTTCTTTCATCAGTTTCCAAAATGAATCAGAGTGGCCAGCTTTTACAGTGACCTCCTCCGAACAAGAGTACTGGTTGTAAGATACATCATTTCCTAAACATATCTAATACTGTTACCTACAGCTACCTAAATCTATTTTCTGGATTTATGCATGTAACAAATAAATGAATATCTTACATTTATAGTACATAATAGTATACTACATATTTATTGTAATGATATAGTATCTATATAAGGAGGAAACTGCACAGTTTCCATTTTAACTATATTGAACTTGCTTTAGTGCAAGTCAGCTACATTAGAAACTGTTTGGTCATGTCAGAAAATTCACATAATTTAGTGTTAGTTTTCTCCCAAGTCCTGGACTATGTGTGAGATAACCCCTGCCCTTATAAAGGGTGGGACAACATGGACAAATATCCAACATCTGGATAAAGTCCATAAAGTTTCATCATGCAGACATGGGATATTGAGAAATTTGGGCTAAAGAACTGAGCCAGAGAACTTGATGAAAACAACATGTTTATTGTTTGTGCAAACTAACTAAAATAAAAAAAATAAATCTGTGTTTAGCATATAAATCTAAAAAGTTCAGTTTTGACATGCATTGAAGTTAAAAAGAAAATGTGTTGTTCATAATGTGTGTGTGTGTGTATGTGTACACTCAGCCATCGTGTGTTGCGGGAGAACAACAGCGGCGGTCTGGGAAGTGTAAATGCGGATCTTTCCATGTGTCTTCTGTTGGCTTGGGTCATCTGTTATTTCTGCATCTTTAAAGGAGTGAAGACCACAGGCAAGGTCAGCTGATGCTCATTGCTAATGAAATAATAAAGAGAAAACTATGTCATATACATAAACAAAAACTAGCTATGAAAACCCATATATTTACAGAAGGAGTTGAGACTCATCTAGGGACCAAAATCTTTGGACTATCATGAGCAAATGCTCTGAAAATGTCATTTTCCAAATAAAACATGGCTCTGCAATGTCGGCTCGGCAAATTTTTAGGGATGCTAAAACCACTCAATGTACACTCATCTAAAGGATTATTAGGAACACCATATTAATACTGTGTTTGACCACCTTTCGCCTTCAGATCTGCCTTAATTCTACATGGCATTGATTCAACAAGGTGCTGAAAGCATTCTTTAGAAATGTTGGCCCATATTGATAAAATAGCGTCTTGCAGTTGATGGAGAATTTTGGGATGCACATCCAGGGCACGAAGCTCCCGTTCCACCACATCCCAAAGATGCTCTATTGGGTTGAGAACTGGTGACTGTGGGGGCGATTTTAGTACAGTGAACTCAATGTCATGTTCAAGAAACCAATTTGAAATGATTCAAGCTTTGTGACATGGTGCATTATCCTACTGGAAGTAGCCATCAGAGGATGGGGACATGGTGGCCATAAAGGGATGGACATGGACAGAAACAATGCTCAGGTAGGCCGCGGCATTTAAACAATGCCCAATTGGCACTAAGGGGCCTAAAGTGTGCCAAGAAAACATCCCCCACACCATTACACCACCACCACTGCCTGCACAGTGGTGACAAGGCATGATGGATCCATGTTCTCATTCTGTTTACGCCAAATTCTGACTCTACCATCTGAATGTCTCAACAGAAATCGAGACTCATCAGACCAGGCAACATTTTTCAAGTCTTCAACTGTCCAATGTTGGTGAGCTCTTGCAAATTGTAGCCTCTTTTTCCTATTTGCGTATTTGGTCTTCTGCTGTTGTGGCCCATCGGCCCCAAGGTTGTGCGTGTTGTGGCTTCTCAAATGCTTTGCTGCATACCTCGGTTGTAACGAGTGGTTATTTCAGTCAAAGTTGCTCTTCTATCAGCTTGAATCAGTCGGCACATTCTCCTCTGACCTCTAGAATCGACAAGGCATTTTCACCCACAGGACTGCCACATACTGGATGTTTTTCCCTTTTCACACCATTCTTTGTAAACCCTAGAAATGGTTGTGCGTGAAATTCCCAGTAACTGAGCAGACCGGCCCGTCTGGCACCAACAACCATGCCACGCTCAAAATTGCTTAAATCACCTTTCTTTCCCATTCTGACATTCAGTTTGGAGTTCAGGAGATTGTCTTGACCAGGACCACACCCCAAAATGCATTGAAGCAACTGCCATGTAATTGGTTGATTAGATTACAAGGTGTTCCTAATAATCCTTTAGGTGAATGTACTTTAGAAATGGGAAAGTATTGACAACCACAACCACCACAAATGCAGCCTCAATCTGTTGCGGTGCAACCAAGTGTAGACCAATGTTCAACACAGCAGAAATATCACTAGAAGATCATAAAATGGGACTTGAGTATTATATAAAAGTCTCTTAATTGTTGTGATATGTATGTCAATGTTTCACAGGTTGTGTACTTCACTGCTACGTTCCCCTACTTAATGCTGTTCATCCTTTGCATCAGAGGAGTGACTCTACCAGGGGCTGCAACTGGGATTTCATATTACCTGTATCCTGACATCAGTAAACTCTCCAATCCTGATGTAAGTGGACCACAATTCCTGCATCCCAATCCGCATCCTAAATAGTGTCCGAGATTACAATTAGTATGTCACAAAACATGGTATGTTGAAATGAGTATCCCAAAGATACCCAGATGGTTTTCGAAGTACACCAATGCAGGACTGGGCAACTCTGCCCCTCATGTTCCTGCAGGTTCTCTGTGCTATTGTGTCTCTGGATGGGACCACACTGTCATATAACATGAAATCAGGTCTCATTCCCTTCCACATAAATGCATATTTACACTCTCTGAATTATTCAGACCCTCTTCTGGTCACGGCCTTGAGCGAGCTGGTCTCAACTTCAGCACCGAGAGAAACATTTGGCCATTAACTGTTAAATGCATCATAATGCAAAATAAACAGGAACATTTATCTGCATGAGAGACCCACATTTTCATATTTGGTTGGGAGAAATTGGTAAGTAGTGTAAATTAGTGTATGAGGATTTTAATTGCCTGGATGCGACAAACTATTTCCAATTTTATGACATGAAGTATTCCCCAAAACTTGCCTACTCTTCTGCTACACACAATGCTCATTGGAAAAATGTGGCTGTGAGAAGACAATAGGAGTGTTAGTGTCACCAAACCAACAATAAACAGACAGAAGGGAGAGATCCCTTACACTAAAAATAGGCCTACCAACAAAAAAGTATAAGTTACATTTTCTAGTTGGATTTGTCATGAGGTGTCATGTGCCTTTAATGGAACAGTACACTGTTATGTTGACTTGTATATATTCTGTTTCATTGATGTAGCATGTGTAGAAAGATCCAAATGTTTCCAATTGATTCCATGAAAATGACTTATTAATGGTCTTAAGAAGTTGCTGACTGTGAATCTGTGATGATTTTGTAATGGTTTCAGACAGAGAGGTTTGTTTCTGTGATCCTCGAATGGAAAACAGATGCGCATGGAGATGATACATACAGTATCTTTTATAAAGATTTTTGGAAAGTATCTACAGTAGGAATTCTTTTCACAATGCAAGTGACAACATTCTCATTATAAATATAGTTATTATCTCAGAGAGGGATTTTCTTCGCTTTTACCCCAAACAAAGTCAAATTTAATGAGAAAATGAAGCGAAAAAGGCGATGTAATGCATGGGAGGTGTGCTTTTGGTTTTGGAGGGGAGCCATGGTGGTCCCGTGGGGTTTGTTCTGGATATGCATTATAGTTGGGAGGTGTAAACGAATAAGTTTGTTGTGTTCAACAACGCACCTGGAAAAGTACGGTTGGGAAGAAGCAGATAAGAAAGATTCAATTCTGGGTTATGCAAATTGTTGTTTTAGGGTTGTGCCTGTTGGACTTCAGAAATGAAAAAGCAGAGTTCATACAGTTCATACTCACCATATTAAACTTTTGCTGATAATTTACTCACCCCCATGTCATCCAAGATGTCCATGTCTTTCTTTCTTCAGTCGAAAAGAAATGAAGGTTTTCGATGAAAACATTCCAGGATTTTCTTTATATAATGGACTTCAATGGGAACCAAACGGTTCAAGGTCTAAAAGACAGTTTCAGTGCAGCTTCAAAGGGCTTTAAACGACACCAGACGATGAATAAGGGTCTTATCTAATGAAACGATCGTTCATAAATAAAAAAGTTTAAGTTTTATAAGCACAAATGCTCGCCTGTGATGCGCGTTCGTGACTCTCCTGTTCAAACTCGTTTATCAAAATAAACAAATCTTTTTTTTTTCGAGTCATGACTCGAAGGGTCCTAGATAAGACCCTTATTCATCATCTGGTTTCGTTTAAAGCCCTTTGAAGCAGCACTGAAACTCTCATTGGACCTTGAACCGTTTGGTTCCCATTGAAGTCCATTATATGGAGAAAATCCTGGAATGTTTTCACCAAAAACCTTAATTTCTTTTCGACTGAACAAAGAAAGATGTGGACATCTTGGATGACATGGGGGTGAGTAAATTATCAGTAAAAAGTTTTTTTTTTTAAACTACTTCTTTAATTCAAGTAAATTATGCATATTTGAATGTAACTAACCCTAATCCTAACCCTACAGTAATTGCTTGTTTCTAATTGATATTACCCACTCAAATGTATAATTACACTGTAATAAGGACACCTTAAAATTAATATTTTTTTATTTTATTTATATATTTTTTCACATATTATTATAATTAAGAACAACGCCTAGAAAACATGTTGTAGTTCATCTTTTGTTTGACCCAGTAAACACATTTAGCAATGGTAGCCTACTCACTGAAAAAGTTCTTCAACAAAAGTTGTTTTGGAATCACAGCCAGAGTTTACCTTCAAAATTACACTCTCACCCGATGAGAACTCGATGAGAACACAATAAGCTAAATTGAGGCAATAAAGATGATATCTTTCTATGAAACTTCATCGGTGTTGCTGGAAAACATTTTAATGTTGTGAAAATGAATGACAATTGAATATTTAGCAATATTTGTTTTATATTTTGTTCTGTTGATTTATTTCCTTTCTCATCAGAGACAATGTGCTCACACAGGAAGTGTGTATAAATATGTAGGCAGATAGAGTATCGTGTGTATATACAGTCTTGGAAAAGTTAATAAACACTTGCATTACGAAACTGAATTGAAGGATGTCAACCCTGTAACCCTTGCTTATAGTAACCAGATGTGCAGCAGAGTAGAGGCCCATAGGAGTGCCTTGCTCAAACTGGTGCAAAAAAAAAAAAAAAAAACAGTCTTCAGTAAATATCGGATGTGATTCTTAGAAAGAAATGCCTGAGGCTAAAATTCTAAATGAAAAACAATAAATTACATTTTGCATACATAAAATTAAGCCTATTTATCAAGTACACCCGCCGCCCTCCACATTCTTATTCTCATAATGCAAAAAAAAAAGAACAAAAATCCCATTCCAGTTCTATACAAATTATATTAAAAATGAATATCCTGATCCCAAACCATACCAATACTACCACAATGGTATATATTTTTTTCTTTGTATTTTATAGTGTGTATGTGTGTGTGTGCAAGCTACTTATAAGTAAGTCATATACTTATAAGTGTAATAAGGAATCGTTTAAAGTATTCTAAAATGTACTATTTTTTTTTTCACTGTTAAACCTGCAAGATCTGCTCTTCATCTCTTCTCCTGCAGGTATGGTGTGATGCAGGCACTCAGGTGTTTTTCTCTTATGCCGTGTGTCAAGGAGTCCTCACAGCACTGGGCAGTTATAACAAATACAACAACGACTGCTACAAGTCAGTATCCTCCTGCTTTAATGTTCAACACCCCACCCATTTCACTCCCTGATTCATATACTGATTCACTCCCTATATTCTATGTACCGCAGGGACTGTATAGCACTCTGTTTTCTGAATAGCGGCACTAGCATCTTTGCTGGGTTTGTGGTCTTTTCTATTCTGGGGTTCATGGCCCATCAGCTAGATCTACCCATGGAAGAGGTAGTATCATCAGGTATATATTGCATTACCCTAGTAAAAAATGAAAGACTCCCATACTTCCATACTAAGTGTCCTTCAAACCCATTAACATATTACTTAATACTTGTATAGATGCCCAACACATTCTCATCCTTTGTCACCTATATGACGTCAAAGGATGAGAACGGGATCAGATGCCAGACCCTGTAGTGTATTATGGTCTCTTGCTATGTTGGTGATGACCACAAGAGAGCATCTCAGACCAACACTTTTGTTTTGTTTGTTTTTTCATTCAGCATAGTCTGAATGTTTTTTTTTTTGGGCACAAAATACTCATTTAATTTGTAAATAAAATTTAATTTTTAAAAATCTGATAAATAATTAAATTAATTAAAATTATTTATATATATATATATATATATATATATATATATATAATTTGATTTTTTTCTTTTTAATTAAAACATGAACTAAAAAAATTATATATTTTTTTTATTCTGATTATTTTCTTGCAGGTGTTGGATTAACTTTCATAGCATATCCTCGAGCACTCTCTCTGTTACCTGGACCTCAGTTCTGGTCTGTTCTTTTCTTTATTATGGTACTCCTGCTGGGCCTTGACAGCCAGGTACAGTTATTCAACATCACTTATGCACATATTTATATATATATATATATACTGTATATATATATATATATAAAATAAAAAACTCACCTTAATCCTTTAGGTGAGTGTATATATATATATATATATATATATATATATATATATAATTGTTTGTTTTTTTTACTTTAAGGTTGACCGCAAGTGTAAAGTGTTATATTCATGTTTTTTAAAGTTTGTGTGTGTGGAGAGTTTAGCCACGGCTCTCATAGACCTGTTTCCTGGAGTTCTAAGGAAGCGGCGAGAGCTTTTGGTTTTGGGAATCGCCGTCATCTGCTTCTTACTTGGACTGCCATTCATCACAAAGGTATGAAGTAGATATGGATGGTATGATGGATGGATAGATGGATATTCTCTAACTTTTACTCAACTTGTGCCTTATTGTAGGGAGGAATCCATTTGTTTACTCTGATGGACACCTATGGCCCGAGTGGATTTAACCTGCTCTTTATCGCCTTCTTCGAAACAGTTGTTGTTGCATGGGTCTATGGTAGGAGACATTACTTTCCTGTGAAATTCCTAGTATTTGACATAGGGTACAATACTCTGTAAAGTATGATTTTTTTTTTTGTTTAATTATCTTGTTTTTTGTACATCACATCATGGTTTGAAAACTACATCCTTTACAGTGTATATCAAAAATAGCTTTTCTAAACTTGCAGAAAATACATAATTATCATGTTCTATATAGACCATTTCACAAGACGTAAACAACACTGGTCCAGAAGCACTTCCTGTTTCAGTTTGTAACTGTTTTCTTTATTTCACATGTAAAGAAAACATCTTAAAGATGTTTGTTTAACTTTTTTATTCTGTTTTAAATGTTCTGTTGGTTGTATTTTATCCCAGCTTTTATGTAGTGTTAAAAAACTGAAACAGGAAGTGCTTCTGGACCATTGTTTACATCTTGTGAAATGGTCTATACTAATTATTATTACATTGTATTATGACTATTCATAATGTGTTACAGTTGTTACTCAAGTTGAGTGAGTATGTTATATCCCACACACACATATTGGGTTTCCATGTTTAATAGGCACTTTCCATAGACATAATGATTTTTATCCTGTTCAAACTGTATATTCTGTCCGCTAACCTACCCATCACAGAAAATATTCTCACATTTTCAAAAAAACATCACTTTTAATTGTTCATGGAGCCCAAATGGACATTTTTGTCCCCTTAACTTGGGTTTAAAAGGACAACACACACACACACTACTAAAAACGGTGTAATAACTGCAATAAGAAATACAAAAAACATCACACGAATGAGTGGTTTGCAGGTGCAAACCGTTTCTACGACAACATTGAAGATATGATAGGATACGCACCATTCCCTGTGCTGAAGTACTGCTGGCTCTTCATTACGCCTCTCATCTGCGCCGTGAGTTCACATTTTGTCTCTAGCACTGTCTCACTCTTCAGTAACGTTTTTTTTTTTGTTTATTGTCCCGAAATCTGCATAGTTTTCTCATTATTTTACCATCACGTTTCATTAGCGTTTCATTGGTATTTCACACTTCATTGTTTGAATTATTATTATTTATTTAGTTGTTTGGTTTTCTGTCCTCTGTATATTTACGACTAGTGGCAATCTATAACTACATGCATTAAGATTTACTCATTTAGCTGACACTTTTATTCAAAGCTATTTTCGAATGAAAAATAAAATGATTCAGTGGTCATTTTGAGGTTGGTTCTGCAGCGCTCTCAAAATCGTCAAGGTACTTTAACTAAATAGTATCTGCAGAAGGTTGTATTATAGTATGCACATTCACATACAACATAGGTAATTAACCATTGCGAATGAAGTTTTATATCGAAGCCAGGATAGATTTGGAAAGTACAAGAATGTGTTTGTTTTTTGCCCTCAGTCTACTCTGCTGTATAGCCTGCTGGGGAAATCTGTGTCTTCAGTTGATCAATTTGGGCCACAATGGAGTTACAAGTTTGCACATCTACTCACAGTCATTCCTTTGGTCTGCATCCCAATCTTCCTAGTCATCTCTTTAATAAGGGTAAGAGAAAGCCACCAATCAATCCATTCATTCATTCATTCATCCATTCCTCCTTTTCCATGCATCTCATACAATTACATTTGTCAAAGCATCTGTTCTTCATTCTTAAAAACTGATATTGACTCATTTCACACATATGGATGCTTCGATAGGACCCCTTGGTTTCACTTTTTAATGCATCAGTTGTCGCTAAAATAGTCCAGCTTAAGTAAGCTTAATGATGGTTCATGGATCAGGTTCATTTCTGTTGTAAAATGTTATTAATTTAGTTAATTTACCTATACAGCCGCTTTGGAGAAAACGGTTATGTCATAGTCTCAATTCAATTCACATTTCAATTTACACTTATTTGTAGCGCTTTTTCACAATACATATCGTTTCAAGCCAGCGTCTACATTACAATTTAGAGTGATCTGTTATCAGAGTAGACTGTGTCCATTTTAGAGCATATACAAGTCATCCGATATTTTATATCTTTTACACACTGTCAACTTGGATAAGGTTTCATCTGGTTGTGATGAATTAAAGTATTATCGGCATAACAGTGGAAAATAATTCCATGTTTTCTTATAATATTACCAAGTAGCAGCATATTGAAAATAGCAGAGGGCCTAATACAGAGCCTTGTGGCACTCCATAATTTACTAACATTGTCTTAGGTTTTTACCTTTTAAAAAGACAAAATAACAGGAATACCAGTGTAATTTCGTAGTCGATCTAAAAGTATTTTATGATCTATAGTGTCGAACGCTGCACTAAGATCAAGTAAAACTAGTATTGCGATTCAGCCTTGGTCAGAAGCAAAAGGTAAGTAATTTGTCATTTTTATCATACTTCATAAAACCCAGAAAAAAATGCGTTGTAATTCAAACGAGTCGTTCTTCGTAGTTCTTTTAAAGCGGATTCTGTTAAATAAAATATCTCCCTTTGGAGTGGACTTTGAGCTTTAAAGACCTTGCAGATCTTTTTAACGCTCAGACAGCAACATTACACACTAGCTAAAGTTGGAAAAAGTGAAAAACATAATAGTTCCCTTTTAAGGAAATTTCTGTAATCTCCTTTCCACCTCTTCAGGGTCATGACATCATCACCCCCTCTACTGACCTGAAGCAGCTCCGACCAAACAGTCCACGCCTCACACTGTTTAATCGTGTAATCATTAAAGCACAGAAATCGCAACACGTTCAGGAAGATGGAGCAGAGAAAGCAAACACAGAACACACCAGTGGAGTTTGAGAAGGCAGAACAAGATAGGACTTTATACGTTTTAAAAAGCCTCATAATAAAATGAGTTAATTTAAATATAAACAGTTGTATTGCAGTGTATTAGATTTTCCATATGAAATATCAGGATGTCAAATGAACACAATTAGGTAAATTTTTTCATGTTTTTAATTATTATATGATTTTATTATGATGTTTTTAGGAGAACTAGTACTGTTTCCGTGAGTTCAAATGGAAGGCAGTTTAAAACCATTAAATATATGTTGTGGATTGGAGTGGAGTAAAATAAAGTGCTAAAAATAAATATGTCCGTTTGGGGTTTGACTGTTGAAGCAAAATTACTATATTTTACTATTACTATTTTACTTTTAACTTTAGGTTTTAAAATGGCCATTCTATGCAATACAAACATTTTAGTTATTGGTAACTTTATATATGAAATTCAATGTTCATAGATTCTAGAATTCATTTGAGTCTAAATATGTTCATTTATCTTTATCTGTTTACATTGTATTTGTATATGCATTTTCTCATTTGTCTTCCTATACCATTCTATACCATTTATATAAGGAATATAATATCTGACACATTTGAAATGTATCATTTAATTCAAATTTATTTCATCCTGTTGCATTAAAAAGTACTAATCTTTTATATTTTTTTTAATAAAACTGGATAAATTTGATTTAAGACTTTGTCCCATCTATTCTTTGTTGCTACTATATTATTACACTACATAAGTGGACACCCCCTCCAAAAACTCCATCTAACTAAGTGATAAGAACAGTTTTAATACAGGTGCACATTGCTTGAATATTTGTTAATCATAATTCCTGTACTGGGAGTTCAATCTCTGTTTTTCTTCCAGTTGGTCATTAGCTTTCCTCATCCATGTAATCTGAAGGGACATTCAATTAACAGATAATGTCATGAAATGGCTTCGGGGTTTATCATGCCTGTCATAGCACAAAGGTGGGGCTTAATGGTGGAATTTACTCTGGTGGACCAATAGGAGGCTGCTCTCAATGGGATGAGTGTCTAGGATTGTGAGAAGATCTTATGAGGCCCTACATTGTGACACTTTTGTTAAATGTGTGAGAGTATGTGTGGATCACAGTCTTGATATATAATCATTCATTTTCCACTAAATTTGACAAACACCAAGTCTACATTTTGAACAGTATATCAGTTGTTTCTTCCTTTAAAACCCAAACAAACTTTTTTTTGTGAATAAATTGATTAAAAAGGTGTGCTTGTGCTATGTTTCTTTTAAATAAATGATTGCTGAATTTTATTTTTACCGTAGGTGTGCTTAGGCTTTAACTTCTACTCAAGCGTACTTAAGTCTACTTAAGTGTAAAGTTGATAAGTGCAAGATATATAACTAGTTGATATAACTTCATATAACAATGTAGTTGATATAACTGTTTGGACTTAATATGGGTAAGGATTTAGGGGTATGATCAGGTTTAGTACCCACATGTATAACAGGACTAAAAAAACAACTGTGACACTACTTATACATTTAAGTGCTGAGTGATATCAATGTACTTACTATACATGTATATGACAGGAATTCGAATTTTTTTACGAATTTTTTGAGGCTATTATTTTTGTGTACTACAATGCCATAACACTTGCAATGAGCAAAGTTTTTCACTTTTAACAGTATTTTACAGATCTTTTTCGCCATATAGCGTGGGAAACTATAAGTACGGGAGTAATAAGGTGTTTTACTGTAGCATTTGTACAGTTTTTTTTAACATTTTACAATGTGCACAATAGTTAAAGGCATGTAATATACAGAAACGATAAGACTGTAAAATGCTCTGATCACTCTTGATCTTTGTCCGAATCCTCTGCTGTCTCCGTGTATTGTACGCCAAATGCAAATTGAACGACCTCAATCTGCAGTGAAAACTTAATTTTGTTTAAACTACACTTGGGGGAATCATTCTCTTCCCAGAAAGCATTCATTTTCTACAAGAGAGCTGATCTCAAAGTGCAGCAAGAAATTGGAATTCCACTCAATGAGGCTCTTAAGAGGGACAGTTTGCTGAAGGTGCAAAATTGCTGCGGGGTTTGTGGTAAATCACACAACACTGTCATCTGAGCATCTCTCATTCCCTCCCTCTTGTCTCTCAAATACACAGGCTCTACCTTCTCTCTGCAGGTCCTGTGATGTAGATTCATGTCCCCTGTCACAGTATTAAAAGATGAAATTCCTCAAAGTTGTCCTATCTGTGCATGCCAGGGAACCATGGAGCTCAATAACCTCTGCATTGATTTAACACATCTGCAGGCGTGACTTGCATTGCCACACATGCACAATGAGAAGCAGTACACAACCTTTAACAAAAAATCATCTTCCCAATGAGTATTTGTGTCCAATTATGCAGTAAAAATGTTTCAAAATCCTAAAAATTAGATGAATATGCTAGACAAGCAACACAGATCAATTTGAAAAACAAAAAAAAAAAATCCTCTACTGTAGGCACGTTCATGTTTCCAGCTGAAATTTACACTAGTGTCAGTAAACACCAACAACTTTTTTTTTTCCCCAGACAAATTATGATTATCACAAAAAGAGTTCAAAGATTTGTTAGCATGGTTGCTTTAGTAAAGTCGTTTTTATCTCACATTTGCTTTTGTAAACAGCAACAGTTAGGTGTAGATCAGGGTTTAGTATAATACGTTCATTTCAAATGCGATAGAGCACTAGCTGCCATGATATGGACAATAATGTTGTCGTTATACGTAACATTGATTCATATTCATCTGCATCTTAACTCACTTTTACTGTGCGCTCACACCGGACACGAATAGCGTGTCAAATTTGACGCTTGACCACTTTGTGTTAATTCACTCATGACGCACGTAAAAACAAAAGTCTAATACGAAATTTACACGAGTCAGAATCGAAACCCTTTGGCGGCCATCTTTTTTATGTTGATCGAGCATTCATCAAGAGTGTTACCACTCTGTATTTGCTCTGGAGAGCCGAACTGCGGCTTCAGGACCATCATCACCGTATTTGTGTTACCGTATTTGGCGAATTGACGCCAAAGTTCAGATTTTTCAACTCGGGCGGCAGACGCGAATTCGCGTCAAACATGTGAATACACAAATAGTACTAACTAAATCATTCGCGCGTAACGCGCCAAACGCTCAATTCACGCAAACTTGAGGCGTATTCGCATCTACCGCAACGCGCTCAACGCGTCATTTGCGCCGCAGGAATTTTTTACACGCATAACGCGTCTTTGCAGTGACTTAACATTGAATTGAACATCATTTGCGCCTGACGCGCTATTCGCGTCTGGTGTGAACGCACCATTAGGGTCACTCACTGGACATTTCACTTTGAAGTTTCTCTGCAATCTGCGAAAAGAAACTTAATTTTCCAACTAGAAATGTCGCAACATGCACATTCTTCTCTGTTTTCAGAGAATGCTTTTTCTTACTGCTTGGATTTGTTTCCCCTTTCTTTACGTAAGTATAAATATCAAGTGCTTGTTTTTTTTTTGTTTTTTTTCTCTCAACATACTGTACATCCATTCCAATATGGTAGTGAAATTTGACTTTAAATGAGATAAGTAATTTTGTACGAAAAAATGTACTTAATTCGAGATAAGAGATGAGATGTAAATATCTTGTACAGTTTTATTTCTCTAGTCAATTAATCTAGTTTTAAAAGTTTTTAGATGTTTTAAATTATGGGGGGTAAATTATTGTTTATCTGTTTACTTCTCAAACCTTTCCGACCAAATACGTAGTCTTTCCATCTTTCCATCATTCTGTTCCACAAACCCGAGTTCAGAGATCGGCGTCTTGTTCTTCATTCTCATTAAAAAGTGACAAGGACTTTAAAGTGTGAATGCACTTTAAATAGAAAATTTGTAACAAATACAGAAGCAAACTGAACGTTCACATTGGCTGTTCATGCATTACAAGATGTGAACGAGCAAACTGAATGGGTAGTGCACCCTTTTGGGTTGTATGTTAATAGTTTCCCCCTATGTAATCCCGTTTTGTTGTCACCATGAGCCTTGCAGGTTCATTGTGGGGTGTAATTAGCCTCTATTGATTTGAGGGCAGCATACAACAAAGTGATGAAAACCAACTCTGACAACTCCAATTCTGTGCCTGTCGCTTAACGATTGCAGGCAATGACAAACCTAATGCGAGTAACCTCTGATTTGCTGTTGACATTGTGGCTGCATTGGGATATAAGTCTTTTCATTCCCAAGAAAAGTGACAAAGAGCTGTTGACATTGTTGCTGCATTGGGATAATGTCTTTTTATCCCCAAGAAAAGTAATGAAGTGTGTGAATTAACATTGTACGTCATCCAAAATATCTATTGCCACTTTCATTTGCTTTGTTAAGTTGTCTAATGGAATTTCCAAAGTCGTTCTTCTCTTAGCGTCCACAGAAACCACTAAAATATGCCCTTGAAATAACTCAGTTTCTTGGCTTGCCCCATGATATATGAATATTCAATTACAAATACGTTGATGTAACACTCTTAATAGCTTTTCCCTGTCGTCTCGTCACACAATGCATCAGGCTCCCACCCTTTAAGCCAACCAGAAGAGCCTCTTGAACCTTTAAAGGTTTTATATTCACATGCAGTCAGTTTGACGTAAAATTATAGTGGTTGGCAATAGACACTGACATGGAAGTTGTGTCATTGCTTGGCGCATATTATATAATTCAATCTAATGATGCAAATGGGCTATTAGAAGAAAAACAATATCACACCAAAAGGTTTCCAGTTGACTCCTGCAGTTCTTTTACGGTTCAAGATACACATTACTTTTTCATTTTAATGATTCGACTGTATGTGGCGTTTTTTTTACTGTCATGACCTTAAAAAATTGAACATATTTTTACACATTCCATACCCATATGCCATTTGCCCAGTGAGTGGAAGAGGGTTTTGCTTCACACAACATAGACACAAATGAAATGGATGGGATTCAAACCAGTGTTCTTGGTCAGTTTCCCAAATATTACTCATAGGAGAGATGCTTTTGTAAAGCTAACTTCTTTTATGAGAGCTGTCCAATTCTGTGAACAGGTTACTTTGATTGAGACTGGAAAGAGATTGCTTTGCCTGTGGATTCAAACCTTGACCCCCAAACCTTGAGTCCGGCATACTGCAAATTGAAGTTTTTCACTTTATTTTGATGGTCCCTCTGACACATTCTGTTGTCTATAAGTAACTTTGCAACAACATGTCTACTAACTCTCACTAGAGTGTTAGCAGAGTATCCCAATGATACGTTTGACGATTCATTTTCTCAAACACCTCCTTTGAGTGGCGTGAATCTGCGGCGATTGGTCAAATGACCCAGTCAGTTGTTATTGGTAAACCGTAGGCAGAGACTGTCGGCAATGGAACACCCATAACCAGGATTATAGCTTGTCAAGTGTTGAAAATTGTGTATAGTGTTTGAACAAACGTGTCAGAAAAAGTGCAATTTCCACACGGATACAATAAGGAAACAATAAGGAAACATTGATGCATATAATATCTTTGAAAAATACAGTAAAATGGCATTTCAAAACAATACTGTGACAATGTCATTGTTCATCAGTTAAACAGTAACAGTAGCTATGTTTCCATCCACCCGCTTTTATCCGAATTAAGTGATATCGAATGAAAAATGAATAATGGAAACAGTGAATTTCATGAATATCGCCTCAAATGAAATCGATCATTTTGATTTTGAAATTGTTCGGTCTCATCGTATTTTATCTTGATCGATATACGGCTAATTCGATAAATGGATAAATGGAAACGTTATAATGGCGCGATCCATTTTGTCTAGCAAAACTTTGTGTTTGCTTGAATGTTGAGCGATTCAGAGCGAAAAAGAATCGAAACACCTTAAAATGTCCCAAACCAAATCGATATACCAATTTGATCGAAAAAACAGCAGGTGACGTCATTACGCAACAGGTTTTTATTCGCTTTAAAGCGGTTGGATGGAAACACACTTTCACCAGCTTTATTCGCATGAGTTTTGTTTTGTTTTTTATCGAACTTCAGATAATTCGATTGACGAGTGTATGGGAGAGTGTGTTGCTCTCTTTTGCACTCATTTCTCCCTCAGTTTTTTTTTGTTCTAAAAAAAGTTAAGTAGCATTTTTTTTTTACTTTTTTTTAAAATTATTTTCATCTTCATGGAAACCA